TTTTTTTTGGGGGGGGGGGGATGAGGGCTAGGGGAAAATTTGAGACAGTCTCATATAGTTCAAGCTGGCCTAAAACTCACTATGTAGTGGAGGATGACCTTGTATGTCTAATTATCCTGCCTCTTGATCCCAAGTGCTGGGACCAAGGCATGGACCATCTCATATATACAATTTGTTAATATTTTCTCCCATTCTGTGGGCTGTTTTTCACTATTTTGACAATCTCTTTTTTAAAAACATTTTTTATTTATTACTTCTATTTTATGTGTTGCCTGCATATAAGTGGACGCATGTTGGGCAATGCTCGCAGAGGTCAGAAGAGAGTACTGGATCCCCTAGAACTGAAGTTATGACAGGTGTTAGCCACCATGTGGATGCTAGGAATCGAACCTGGGTCCTCTGTAAGAGCAGACAGTGCTCTTAACTGCTGAGCCATTTCTTCAGCCCTTGAGAATCTCTTTTGATATACAGAAGCTTTAAAAAAATTCATTTTTGGTTGGGGAGGGGGGAGGGTCTTGCTATATAGCCCAGGATGGCCTAGAACTCATGTGTCAGCCTTTCAAGTGCTAGGATTACGATTATAGGCATGTATAGCTAGAAGGGTTTTTTGTTTTGTTTCGTTTTTTGTTTTATTTTTTTGAGACAGGGTCTCATTGTGTAGCACTGGCTGGCCTGGAACTCATTGTAAACCAGGCTATCCTGGAAATCACAGAGATTTGCTTGCTTTGCCTCCTGAGTGCTGGGATTAAAGATGTGTGCACACCTGGCCCTAGAACCTTAACTAAAAGAAATTATTGTGCGTGTGTATGGGTGCAGGCATGCCACAGAAAATGTAGGGGTCAGAGGACAACTTTAGAGAACTAGTTCTCTTCTTCCATCATGGATCTGGTGATGGAACTCCAGTCGTAGCTACTTTGATTTCATAACTGCTTTTATCTACTGAGGCACCTAGTACTCCCTAGAAAGCTTAATTTGATAAAGTTCAACTGATGTAGTTTTTCTTTTGGCATAATATCCAAGACGCCAGTGACAAATCCAATGTCATGAAGCTTTCTCCTATGGTTTCTTCTAAGAATTTTTTGTTTGTTTTGAGACAGGGTTTCACTATATAGCCCCAGCAGGCCTGGAATTTGCTATGTAGACCATCCCAGCCTGGCCTCTTGATCTCACAAAGATCCACCTGCCTCTGTCTCCTGAGTGCTGGGATTAAACGTGTGTGCCACCAGGCCTGACCCTCCTAAGACCATTATTGTTTTAACTTTCATGTTTAAGTTTTTGAAACATTTTGAGTAATTTTTTTTTTGTACTTGGTATAAGGTAAGGGTCCAACTTCATTCTCTGGCATATGGATATACAGTTTCTCAAATATCAATCCAATACTAGGATTACATGTATGCACCACCATGTCCCTAGCCTTTGTTGAGATTACGCCTCCCTCATTAAATGGCTTTGGCATCCTAAAAAGTCATTAGATCATATGTACCACTGTGCAATGACATATTTCTGGGCTCTTTATTCTATTCGGCTTCAATGTCTGACTTTTTAAAAAAATATTATTTTTATTTTATGTGTATGCATGTATTGCCTGCTTGTAGGTAAGTGCACCCGTGTTGTGCAATGCCCTCAGAGGTCAGAAGAGGCTGTTGGATCCCCTGGAACTGGGGTTATGAACAGTTGTTAACTGCCATGTGGGTGCTGGGATTCAAACCTGGGTCTTCTGCAAGAAAAACCAGTGTTCTTAACTGCTGAGCCATCTCTCCAGCCCCCATCTGCCAGTACCACACTGTTAGGGTACTACAACTTTATATTAAGTTTTTTGGGGTAGGGTTTCACTGTGTAAATCTGACTGGCCTAAAATTCACAGAAATCTGTTTGCCTCTAATGAAAGGTGTGCACCATCATGCTTGGCATGTTCCATAATAAGTTTTGATAATCAGAAAGTGAGCCAGGCATGGTTGTGTGTGCCTTTAGTCCCAGCAGGCAGAGGCAGGTGGATCTCTGTGAGTTTGAGGCCAATCTGGTCTACATAGGGAGTTCCAGGCCAGCTGGGGCTATAGGGGGACCCTGTCTCAAAAAGACAAAAAAGAAAAGAAAATCAGAAAGTGTAAGATCATTGTCCAATTATGTTTTCCAAGATCCTTTTAGTTTCTGAGACAAAAACAAAACAAAAATCCCCACACCAACCCAGGCACGATGGAACACATCTTTAATCCCAGCACTCAGGAGGCAGAGAGAAGCAGATGTTTGTGAGATCTAGGCCAACTTGGTCTACATTGGGAGTTCCAAGCCAGCCGGGGCTACAGGGAGAACCTGTCTTAAAAACCAAACCAAAACAAAACAGTAGACTCTATATAAGGGGCTGGAGAGGTGGCTCAGCAGTAAAGAGTACTAGCTCTTACAGAGGACCTGGGTTTGGTTCCTAGCATCCATATGGCCCGAAACAACTATCTATATAATTTGTTCCAAGGGATCCAATGTCCTCTTCTGCTTCCAGAGGCACTGCATGCATGTGGTGCACTTATATACCTGCAGGCAAAACATTCATACATGTAAAATAAAAATTTTAAAATTTTTTTAAAGATTCTGTGTGAATTTTAAGATGGATATTCCTGTTTCTGCAAAAAAAGTCATTAAAATTTTGATTTGAATTACATGGTATCTATCACTTTGTACGTTATTTCAATATTAATAATTCTTCTGATCCATGAATATAGATATCTTCATTTTTCATTTTTTTTGTCTTTTTGAGACAGGGTCTCCCTGTAGTCCCAGCTGACCTGAACTCACTATGTAGACCAGGCTGGCCTTGAACTCACAGTGATCCGCCTGCCTCTGCCTCCAAAGTGCTGGGACTAAAGGCATACGCCACCACACCCGGCAAATATAGATACCTTTTTATTCACTTAGGTTGTCTTTAGCCAGGGTCCTGTTGTGTGTAGCTTAAGCTGACCATGGACTCAAGGTCCTCCTGCCTTGGCTTCCCAAGTGATTACACATATGCATCACCAGACCTAGCCAGGTGGGGCTCTTGCTTAAGAGTTTCTCCTATTCCCTTCAAGGCTCTAAGCAAGCATTGTCATCTCATCATGGTAGATCAACAGATTGCCTATGTGGAATACAGATTTTCTTTTGAAGGAACAGAAGAACTGGGACATCTTTGTTCTACTTTCTTAGTTTTCAGCTTAGCAAACACAGTGCTTGTTATAGATTTTTAAAGATCACAGTTAAAACTAGCCATGAGCATATATATACCTGTGGTACTAATACATGAGGGGATGAGACAGGAGAAGTCTGAGTTTGAGGCCAGCCTGGGTAACACAGTGAGACCCTGTGTTGTTTTTTTTTTTTTTTTTTTTTTTTTCTTTTTTCTGAGATGGGATCTGCTAGTCAGGCTGGATTCAAACTCACAATCCTCCAAAGTGCTGGAATTACAAGCGTGTACTGCTATCCCCAGGTTTTTGTAGAATCTTTAAGGTTTTTCCCTAAAGGCTGTGCCGTCTATAAACAGATACCTAGGGGGAGAAAATTGTGTGTGTGTGTGTGTGTGTGTGTGTGTGTGTGTGTGTATGTGTGGTTTTCTTTTGTTTTTTGAAATGGTCTTGTCAGCTGGCCTGTAGCCTCAGCTGGCCTGGAACTCTCTATGTAGAGCAGGCTGGCTTAGACCTCACAGAGATCCACCTGCCTCTGCCTCCCAGAGTGCTGGAATTAAAGGCATGCACCACCACACCTGGAATAGTTTGGTTTTTAAAAGATTAGTTTTAGATTTATATGTGTGTGTATGTACCATAGTGCATATGTGCAGACATCAAAGGACAACTTGCAGGAGTCAGTTCTTTCCTTCCACCATGAATGTCCTGGAGACTGAATTCAGCAAGCACCCTTACTTATGGTACCATCTCACTGGCTCCTGACTTGTTTTTCTTATGTTAAAGGAAATCATTTATTTTATACTTTCATATCCAGTTTTTTAAAAAAACACAGTTTAGGGTCTGAAGAGATGGTTCAGTGGTTAAGAGCACTGGCTGCTCTTCCAGAGGTCCCAGGTTTGGTTCCCAGCATCCACATGGTAGATAACAACCAACTGTAAACTCCAGCTCCAGGGGATCTGATGCCCTCTTCTGGCTTCAGTGGACATTGCACACATATGGTGCACTTCTATGCATGAAGGCAAAACACTCACAGACATAAAATAAAAACAAAAATACTTATTTTTAGTCCTTTATTTTATTTATTTATTTATTTATTTTTTTAGATATCATCAGTTTATTATAAAAGGGAGGCATGGAAATTATTTACGTGATGAAATATTTCAGAGCTTCAGTGGAATGGGCAGCTTTGTGTGATGCCATTTCAACAGTGCTTTCAGTCTACATACTTCCCAAGAACATCACTGTCTCTAAATAAGAAATAATCCTTGTCATCTATAACTACTTTGGTGCCTCCGTACTCTGGGAGAACTTTGTCTCCAACTTTCACACTAACTGGTTGAATCTCTCCGCCCTTTCCTTTAGAGCCCAGCTTCTACTGTTCCTTGCAGTACTTTTCCCCGAGACTTTTCTGGAAGCGTAATGCCACCTTTGGTGACAGTTT